CGCCGGGACCCGCCAACCGCCGTGCCACCGCTCCTCCCTCCGTCGCCCCGAGAGGCACCTTCCACGGTGACGGTGACGGTGTGCAGAGCTTGGCCCTCGCTGTTGCCGGCAAGGCACTGGTAGACACCGGCGTCGCCCAACGATGCGTGCCGAATCACCAGCATCCGGTTGAAGTCGCCGAAGGTGACGTGGTCTTGTGGGAGCTCCCCGCCCACCTTGACCCAGCTCACCCGCGGTGTGGGGCTACGCGCACGCACGTGTATTGTTCAGTAGCGTCGTGTATCAGGCCTCGGCAAGGTAAGGTAATTGTACCATTTTTACCGGGTAAAAGGGTAAAGGTGTCGGCATGCCAAGGGGTAAGGGTAAAGGGTAGGGTAAAAAGTAGGCTCGTTGCTTTTTACCTTACCTGCTAAAGGGTAAAAGGTAAGGGTAGAGTGATTGTATTGTGGTAAGGTAAAAGGTAGGGTAAAGGTAGGCTCGTTGTTTTTACACTTTCACCTTGTACCTTGCCGAGGCCTATCGTGTATAGTATCTGGTGTATAGTGGAGTGACTTAAAGCGTTCGTGACTGCAGGAATTCACATTCTTTGGCTCTTTCGGGAAAGCCACGTAGATAGACAATAATACAAATATCACGACGTTGCGATCGCAACACGAGCAATCGTCATCAGAGCCGCTGAGGGAGGTTCATCAACGGCTGCCTCAGCAGCTCTCCCGCAATTTTGTTTCACCTGATGACGATTGCTCGTGTTGCGATTGAAACGTCGTAATATTTTTTTATAATTTTTCTCTCTACGTGGTTTTTCCGGAAGACCCAAAGAATATAGTGTAGTGTATAGTATAGTGTAGTGTATAGTGTAGTGTATAGTGTAGTGTATAGTGTAGTGTATAGTGTGTAGTGTATAGTGTATAGTAGTATAGTGTATAGTAGTATAGTGTATAGTGTAGTGTATAGTGTAGTGTATAGTAGTATAGTGTATAGTGTAGTGTATAGTGTAGTGTAGTGTATAGTGTAGTGTATAGTGTAGTGTATAGTGTAGTGTATAGTAGTATAGTGTATAGTAGTATAGTGTATAGTGTAGTGTATAGTGTAGTGTATAGTGTAGTGTATAGTGTATAGTGCATGTACTTACAGCCCTTGTACGATGCACACCAGCAGCAGTGCGTCTCCCCGAAGCACCAGCTTGCTGCTCGTGTCACCCGCAGGCTCCACGATCAGCGGACGACTCGCGGTACTCTTTGGGTCTTTCGGTAAAGTCACGTAGGTGAAGAATAACAAAAAAAAATTAAATGACGACGTTTAGATTGCAACACAAGCAATCATCATCAGGTGTGACAACCACAGCGAGAACATTTTTACTGAAGTTGGAGAGATGCCGGAGTTAAGGGGTCCATGTAAGTCAGAGAGGACGGTGGGGGGGGGGAGGGAACAAGGGGAGGGGGGAGCTTTGCGTGTGCGCTAGGGACTGGGACGTGAGACTGGGCAGGGCGGGGGGCTAGAAGTAAGAGGATGCGGTGCCTGGATGTGCGGGGGGGGGGGGGCAAAGCAGCGACACGATTGCAGCCAAAACAGATGATAGCGCTCAAAACAAAAGCCGCACTGCTAAACGCTGAGGATGCAATTAACTCGGTAAAAATGAACCCGTAAAAACAAAGTTTTTCACTATAAATCCTTTATATGCGGCTAGAGTCCTCTCGTCCTCTGGCTTGAGATGGCTGCCACCTATGGGTCAGATGATTGTCTGCCACCATTAAGCAATTGGTAATTAAATATGTAAAAAAATAACCTAAACAGTGTAAAATTTTGGGAAAATTTTTTCACGAAAATAAATTGTCACGCACAACGAGTCTGTGTGCAAAATGTCAGCTCGATTGGATCACGGGAAGTGGGTTAAAAAACGACCGAAAGATTTGCACGGTCCTAAGCGTGCAAGCAAGTGAACTTAATATAAAGGATTTAAAAACAGACTACTACCCAGTAAATAAGATGGAACTATGAACAGTTACATTTAACCTGGTTAATAACATCTTTCCAATGATTGCTCAATTTGTATCCATCCTCTCGCTTGAAGTTATGCTTATGTTTATATATCTGCATGGCTTCATGAACAAATGTTTGATGGTAGCCAGACGGCTTGCAGAGCACCTTTGTCTCGGAGAAAACAATATCACGAGAGCCCACAGCGTTGTAGCAATGGTCAGCAACGGCGGAGGAATTAGTTCTGCCGTGTCTCAGATCTGCCTTGTGCTCGCGGATACGGTCAGAGACATGACGTTTCATTTCCCCAATGTGACAATCACCACAGATGCAACTTAGTTTGTAGACTCCAGGGTATTGCAAGTCAGAAATGACATCCTTCACAGATGGGAATAGATCCCGGATTTTGTGTACTGTATTGAATCGGACCTGGATCTTGTGTTTGTTTAAGATTTTGGAAAACTTTTTGATAACGCCTGCTATGTTTGGTAACGTTATGGTTTTGATCGGCGTCTCAGGGGGTTGTTACTCCATGGTTGGAGAAACAGCTTTGCGAATAATGTGGTCCGAGTACCCATTCATCTTGAGGGCCTGGTGGTCGTGTTCCAATTCACTGGCGAGGTGGTGTTGGTCAGAAATGCAGTGGGCCCTATGGTGCAGTGTTTTGAGGAGGGAATTCTTCCGTGCCAGATGGTGGCGGGATTCAGGTTTCAGATAGGAATCTGTGTGGGTGGCTTTCCTGTAGACAGAATGTCCCAAAGAGCCATCTTCGATGGACGAGGTGTGTATATGCGTGCGGATCCATGTATGTGTATGAGTGTGTCTGTGTGGGAATGGGTAGATTTTAGCATAACAGTTAGCGCTACGCTGCGCTACGAACCTGGCGACCCGAGTTCAATTCGCGCTCACAGCCAACCCCGGTGACAGTTATCTGAACCGGTCCTGGGCCTCCCCTAGGTCGACTCCGCCTTAAATGAGTACCTGGTGCGGTGTGTAGTAAACATCGCCACCAGGGAGACAAAGGTGGCCAGGCGTGGTGTTGGCTACCCCCTTGTGTGCAGTGCTGGCCTTTATCGGTGCTCGCTAACAGCACTTGCCCCAAAAGTCTGTTAAGGCTATATGGGGACTCTTTGTTAAATCTGGAAAAAACATCCCTGCCTCCTCGTTGGTGCCGGACGGTAACGCTGTGGTGAGCAGCCGTGCCGTGGGGGGAGGGCCAATCTCAATCGAACATTCCCCTCGTGTTTCGATTTAAAGCTTTCGTGACTGCAGGGATTCATCTTCTTGGTTCTTTCGGTAAAGTCATCACGAAGAAGGGAAGTAATAAAATAATACAAATAAAACATAATAAAATAATTCTCACGACGTTTTGGCCACAATGCAAGCAGCTGTCCTCAGGTGAAGAAAGACGCTGTCTTTCCGACAGACCTGTTCTTCACCTGAGGACGGCTGCTTTCGTTGTGCCAGACTATGTGCACGTTGAAGCCATGTGAAGTGTCGAACGATCGCTGGTAGGTGGTCACTGGGCAGACCCAGCAGGTGCCACGGTCGACTGACTGAGATGACTGGTCAATGCACCACCTGTGCCAACTTGCTGTGCTTTCACCATCCGGCGCTTCGCTCGTTGTGAGCGTCGCTCCTCCGCCCTCCGTTGTTGCTGGAGGGCGACTGCCTCCTTCACGAGCCTTCTCCAGAGGCCAATCTTGACACCGCTGGTACCAGTCATTGGCAAGTCCACTCAGCTCCGCATCCTCCTGTACCACATCACTTCACCTCTTCTCTAGCCCATGCTGCACCCGTTTAGCCCCATCTATCCGGCTGAACAAAATCCGTTCAGGCATGCGGTGGCTGGGCATACAGGCTACATAACCCAGCCAATGCAGCCTTGCCTGCCAGAGCTCATCAATGGGACTTGGTCCAGATCATTTCAGGATTTGTGAGCTCCTCACGCAATCCAGTCTGGTTATCCCAGGATGGATCAAAGGCAGGCCAGCCTAAATGTTTCTAACCGGCAAAGATGTTTCATTTGGGGGGGGAGGGGGTCCACGTGTTGTAAGGATAGAGAAGGGAGGGCATGACTGTGGCCGAGAAGACCTGAAGCTTAGTGTGGAGCGACAGACCAGGAAGCTTCCACACAGCTAATTCCACCCAACGGATTCGGAGTGAGACTCTGCTGTCAAACCGAAGTCAGTCATGAGCACACTTACCAGGTATGGGAAAGTCTCCACTCTTTCCACAAACAGAAAGATCCCCCGTATTGCCTTAACAGATTGTTGGGGCAAGTGCTGTTAGCGCACACTTATGAAGGCCGGCACGGCACACGAGGGGGTGGGTAGCTAACGCCCAACTGTCTTTGTCCCCCTAGTGGCGATGTTTACACACCGCACCAGGTACTCATTTGAGGCCGAGTCGACCTGGGGGAGGCCCAGGACCGGTTCAGATAATCGTCACCGGTGTGTTGGCTGTGAGTGGGAATTTAACTTTATCGCGCTCCCCACAACCACACACACACATGCACGCACACACACGCACACACACACGCGCACACACACATACACACACACATACACACACACACACATACACACACACATATACACACACACATACACACACACACATACAACAACAACAACCGCCATTCGCCACTAAGTCACCACGACGCTTGTGCCAGGCCATGTGCACCTTGAGGCCACATACACACACACACATACACACACATACATACACACAGACACATCAACAACAACAACCGCCATTCGCCACTAAGTGGCGGTGACGTCACCACGACGCTTGTGCCAGGCCAAGTGCACCTTCAGGCCACGTGAAGTGTCGAACGCCCGCTGGCAGGAGGTCACGGGGCAGACCCAGGTGCCACGGGTCGACTGACCGAGATGACCGAGATGACTGGCTGATGCACCACCTGTGCCCCCTACTGTACCAACTTGCTGTGCTTTAGCCACCCGGCGCTCTGCTCGTTGTTGTGAGCGTCGCTCCTCCGCCCTCCGTTGTTGTTGTAGGGCGACTGCCTCCAACTGCTCAGTAGCGTCCTTCACGAGCCTCCTCCACTGAGGCCGATCTTGACACCGCTGGTACCAGTCATCGGCAAGTCCACTCAGCTCCACGTCCTCCTGTACCACATCACTCCATCTCTTCTCTAGCCCGTGCCGCGCCCGTTTAGCCCCCTCGATCCGGCCGAACAAAAGCTGTTTAGGCATGCGGTGGCTGGGCATGCGGGCTACATGACCCAGCCAACGCAGCCTCGCCTGCCGGAGGAGCTCACCGATGGGACTTTGCCCAGATCTTTCAAGGATTTGTGAGCTCCTCACATACACACACACACACACATACACACACACACCACACACACATACACACACACATACACACATACACACACACACACACCACACACACACATACACACACACATACACACACACATACACACACACACACACCGCCGGCAATCGCCGCCGTGCCGCCACTCACTGGGTTGGACCGTCAGTGTGAGCGGCTGCTTCTGGATGGTCCCCGCGTGCGGGAAGTGAGCGTAGCACACGTAGTCGTCCCCGTCACTCAGCAGCACGTTGGCGAAGAACAAGTCCCCGTCCAGGCCCTGGGATACTCGCCCATTCAGCTGCACTCTCTCAATGGCTGCAGCGGCAGCGGCACCCCGGGGGTAAGGGGGACAAGGGGACAGGGGGGGATCAAGAGGATCAGAATCTTTATTTAGGACTGTGGAAGGAGGAATTCGATGCAGCTCTTTATCAAAGATGTAAACCACTAAATCGCTTCATCATCTTCTTGGTTCTTTCGGTAAAGTCGTCACGTAGAAGGGAAGTAATAAAATAATAAAAATAAAACAATAAAATAATTCTCACGACGTTTCGGCCACAACGCAAGCAGCCGTCCTCAGGTGAAAACCAGGTCTGTCGAGGCGACAGCGTCTGAATGAAACAGCACACGAGCTTGGAGCATGTATTTAAGCTGGGTTGGGAGGGGGGAAAGGGCGCCTTGACAAAAGAATATGCATATCAAGAGGCGTTTAGCATATTTATGGGAAATGCAGGTATGTGATTAGTACTACTCATGCCCGTGCATTATGCAGGATTAGCAGCATCAAAGGGATGGGATAATGGGAAATGCAGGTATGTGATTAGTACTACTTATGCCTTCATCATCATCCGCCATGCAAATCATGGAAGCAGCGGCAGATGTGGAGGATGCCTGCAAAAGTGGTGAAAATGTGTTCATCCAGAAGAGACACCGTACAACGGATAACGCCACACTGCTTCCGGTCCACAAATAGGACGGAGACATCACGGCAATGATGCACTCTGCTTCGCTTGCCTGGCTTGCCCACCTCATTGTGAAATTGTAGTCATTGAGTCTGCATCTACATCAGCAGTTGTACAAAAGAGGACCTCCTGCGTACCAGGCGAGGTAGTCAACATCTCCTAGCCACCGTGATGATGATGAGAGAGACACGCAAACTCCAAATATACAGCAGCAGGCGTCAGGGTCGGGATGGAACCCACGACCTCCTGTAGACCAGGCGAGGTAGTTAACATCTCCTAGCCACCGTGATGATGATGAGAGAGAGAGACACGCAAACTCCAAATATACAGCAGCAGGCGTCAGGGTCGGGATGGAACCCACGACCTCCTGTATACCAAGCGAGGTAGTCAACATCTCCTAGCCACCATGATGATGATGAGAGAGAGAGACACGCAAACTCAAAATATACAGCAGCAGGCGCTAGGGGTTACCAAAAAGATTTCCAATATATTAAACAAACACAAGATCCAGGTTCGTTTAAACACAGTACACAAAATCCGTGATTTAATCCCATCTGTAAATGATTCCTGCCATGCAGTACCCTGGTGTCTACAAACCGAGTTGTGGTTGTGGCAGCAGTAACATTTGGGAAACGAAACGGCATGTCTCGGACCACGTTCGTGAACACAAGGCGGATCTGAAACACGGTAGGACAAATACATCTGCCATTGCTGATCATTGTTTTAACGCTGTGGGCTCACGCAAAATTGATTTTTCCAAGACGGAGGTACTCTGCAAACCTACCGGCTACGTTCAGAGATTTGTTCATGAAGCCATCCAGATGTATCAACACAGACACAACTTCAGCCGAGAATATGGGTACAAACTGAGCAATCATTGGAAGGACGTTATTAACCAGGTAAAGTCTTAACTGACTGTGATGTTTCCATCCTACCTGCCTATGTCAGCTGTTATTACCGACTCTGTGTCTCTCTCTCTCTATGCCTCTCTCTTAGACCTCTCACATGTCCTTTGGATTGCACTCTCAGTTTCACATGCCCTTTGGAGTACACTCTCATGGTGCTAATCTCTCAACACTGCTGTTGTGCGCATATGAGGGCATGATACTCTTATGCGGCGACGGAAGCTCATTCATGCTAATCTCTCTCTCTCTCTAATCTCCCCCATTAAATTTCGATTTAAAGCTTTCGTGACTGCAGGGATTCATCTTCTTGGTTCTTTCGGTAAAGTCACGTAGAAGGGAAGTAATAAAATAATAAAAATAAAACATAATAAAACAATTCTCACGACGTTTCGGCCACAACGCAAGCAGCCGTCCTCAGGTGAAAACCAGGTCCGTCGAGGCGACAGAGTCTGAATGAAACAGCACACGGGCTTAGAGCATATATATAAGCTGGGCGCATTGACAAAGGAATTTGCATATCAACAGGAATTTAGCATATTTATGGGAAATGCAGGAATGTAATTAGTACTGCATATGCATGTGCATTATGCAGGATTAACAGCATCAAAGGGAGCTGCAGTTACTGCTGCTGCAGCAGTTGCTGCTGCTGCTGCAGTTTCTGCTGCTGCTGCAGTTACTGCTGCTGCTGCAGTTGCTGCTGCTGCTGCACTTGCTGCTGCTGCTGCACTTGCTGCTGCTGCTGCACTTGCTGCTGCTGCTGCAGTTGCTGCCTTATCCATTTTAATATAACACTATGTATTATTCTACCCACCCTAATGTGTATCATACTGCTATATGTTTACTGTACAATTACGACACCATACATTACTCTGCACACTGCACCATGCCAGTGAGTGGAACGCGGTCTGAAAGTCACCGTTAACGTGAACACAATCAGTTAAGATCCGAAATGGTTTATTACGTCCTTCCAATGATTGGATGGTGTCGTAATTGTACAGTAAACATATAGCAGTATGATACACATTAGGGTGGGTAGAATAATACATAGTGTTATATTAAAATGGATAAGGCAGCAACTGCAGCAGCAGCAGCAAGTGCAGCAGCAGCAGCAAGTGCAGCAGCAGCAGCAAGTGCAGCAGCAGCAGCAACTGCAGCAGCAGCAGTAACTTCAGCAGCAGCAGAAACTGCAGCAGCAGCAGCAACTGCTGCAGCAGCAGTAACTGCAGCTCCCTTTGATGCTGTTAATCCTGCATAATGCACATGCATATGCAGTACTAATTACATTCCTGCATTTCCCATAAATATGCTAAATTCCTGTTGATATGCAAATTCCTTTGTCAATGCGCCCAGCTTATATATATGCTCTAAGCCCGTGTGCTGTTTCATTCAGACTCTGTCGCCTCGACGGACCTGGTTTTCACCTGAGGACGGCTGCTTGCGTTGTGGCCGAAACGTCGTGAGAATTGTTTTATTATGTTTTATTTTTATTATTTTATTACTTCCCTTCTACGTGACTTTACCGAAAGAACCAAGAAGATGACTCCCCCATTAACACAACTGACGTGCTTGCGTCCGGGGGTGGAATTCCTTTCCAGCTCAGACCCCGCTTGCTTGCCCATCGCCACATATATAACCTCTTGTTGTAACAGCTCTCTCGCTGGTTCAGCAGTTCCACTGCCGGGTTATATTTTTTTCCGCCTGAGGATGACCGCTTGTGTTGCGATCGAAACGTCGTGATTCATTTTATTTTATACCCACGTGACTTTACCGCAAGAACAAAAGAGTAAAAAGATATATCAGCAGGCGTCGTCTGGGTCGGGATCGAACCCACAACTTCCTGTGCATCAGGCGAGGTAGTCAACATCTCACAGCCACCGTGATGATGATGAGAGAGAGACACGCAAACTACAAATATACAGCAGCAGGCGTCGTCTGGGTCGGGATCGAACCCACAACTTCCTGTGTATCAGGCGAGGTAGTCAACATCTCACAGCCACCGTGATGATGATGAGAGAGAGACACGCAAACTACAAATATACAGCAGCAGGCGTCGTCTGGGTCGGGATCGAACCCACAACTTCCTGTGCATCAGGCGAGGTAGTCAACATCTCACAGCCACCGTGATGATGATGAGAGAGAGACACGCAAACTACAAATATACAGCAGCAGGCGTCGTCTGGGTCGGGATCGAACCCACAACTTCCTGTGTATCAGGCGAGGTAGTCAACATCTCACAGCCACCGTGATGATGATGAGAGAGAGACACGCAAACTACAAATATACAGCAGCAGGCGTCGTCTGGGTCGGGATCGAACCCACAACTTCCTGTGTATCAGGCGAGGTAGTCAACATCTCACAGCCACCGTGATGATGATGAGAGAGAGACACGCAAACTACAAATATACAGCAGCAGGCGTCGTCTGGGTCGGGATCGAACCCACAACTTCCTGTGTATCAGGCGAGGTAGTCAACATCTCACAGCCACCGTGATGATGATGAGAGAGAGACACGCAAACTACAAATATACAGCAGCAGGCGTCGTCTGGGTCGGGATCGAACCCACAACTTCCTTGCATCAGGCGAGGTAGTCAACATCTCACAGCCACCGTGGTACTCACAGCCGTCCATCCAGAAGACGATGGGAGGAGGAAAGCCTTGGGGAGGGCGGCAGCGCAGCACGGCCGGCAGGCCCTCGGTGGCCATGACGGGTTCCAGCTGTTCACGGGGCCACAGGGGAGCACCTGCAGGACACAGACAAAACCACCCATGTAGCCTTAGACCTCGATTGGAAGTTTCCGTGACTGCAGGGATCCATACTCTTTGGTTCTTTCGGTAGAGTCACGTCGGTATATAATTAATAAAATCACGACGTTTCGGGCGCAACACACAAGCGTCCGTCACCAGGTGGGACAACCACAGCAAGAAACAATTGCTGAAGTGGGCAAAAGGGTTGCCGTGACAAGAGGCTATATAGGTGTTGAGTAGTTCCGACGGACGTACTCGGAGACGGAGGTAAGTTAGGGGCTTCCGCCAGGGTTTATTAAAGCTGTTACAATACACACGCAGCAGGGTGCACAACTCCCAGGGTTTATTAAAGCTTATCTATATTACACAGCAGGGTGCACAACTCCCAGGGGCTAGGGGGGTCCTACTCTAAGTGCGGGTCCCTGCCGGCGAGCTCCGGTCTCTCTCTCTCGTGTCGGATCAGGGACTCTGCCGACTCCACCGACTGGAGAGAGAAGCACCTCTACGGCTACCACCGGCTTCTCCCCAGACTCACCACTCGATCCCTCTGTCTACCCCTGGTCCCCTCTTCACCCTGCTTACTCGACCCGTTCCCACAGTGACCCCGCTCACGTCACGGGGTATCTCTTAAGTACCCCGGGAGACGTGACGTCATCGCACTGAACGGCACACCTGACGTCACGTCCCCATTTTACTCCTCTACATAGGTAAGAGACGGGGGAGGAGCCAAGGAGGAGAGACAGGGAGGGGTGGGGGGTAGGGGGAGTGGAGTGCCGCTAGAGGGATTAAGAAACGAGCAAGGAAATGCCGGGGGGGGGGGGGGGGGGAAGTGGGCGGGGCTGGGAGTGGGAAGCTGAAGAAACTGGAGATGCGGATATGAAGGCAACACCATGAAGCAGTGAAGGTTTGACCTGGTTAATAACATCCTTCCAATGATTGCTCAATTTGTATCCATCTTCCGGTTGAAGTTATGTCTATGTTTAGATATCTGCATGGCTTCATGAACAAACCTTTGATCGTAGCCCGAAGGTTTTCAGAGTACCTTGGTCTCGGAAAAAAACAATATCATGAGAGCCCACAGCGTTATAGCAATGGTCAGCCACGGCGGAGGAATTAGTTCTGCCGTGTTTCAGATCTGCCTTGTGCTCGCGAACACGGTCCGACACATGCCGTTTCATTTCCCAATGCAACAGCCACCACAGGTGCAACTTAGTTTGCAGACTCCAGGATAATGCATGTCAGGAATGACATCCTTCACCGATGGGATTAGATCACGGATGTTGTGTACTGTACTGAATCGGACCTGGATCTTGTGTTTGTTTAAGATCTTGGAAATATTTTTGGTAACGCCTGCTATGTATGGTAACGTGATGGTTTTGATCGGCATCTCAAGGGGTTGTTTCTCCATGGTTGGAGAAACAGCTTTGCGAATAATGCGGTCCGAGTACCCATTCATCTTGAGGGCCTGGTGTACGTGTTCCAGCAACCCTTTTGCCCACTTCACCAATTGTTTCTTGCTGTGGTTGTCCCACCTGGTGACGGTCGCTTGTGTTGCGCCCGAAACGTCGTGATTTATTTTATTTTATACCTACCTGAATTTACCGAAAGACCAGGGGCGGTTTCTTCATTAGGGTGATTGGGCGACGCACCACCAATGTCTTTCAACCACAGAGTCACGCTAGCCGTTATTGTGCCTCTGGATATAGTCCAATCAGCGTCATGTCACATTCTGTGGAGTACCGCCTCTTTTTTGGCGATTTCACTCTGGCTGAGAATCGCCCAGAGTGTTCCCATAGACTTACATTCAAAGATGTTTTTTTTCGACCGGGGGGTGCTCCAATGCATTCTCTACGGCTTCCGGGAGGGCTCGCCCTAACGTGCTTACGTCATCATACGTAAGCACGTGTCAGTCAACAATATTATTTGTCGCCACCTAGTGGAATCTTTAATAAAAGAAACTGAGTGGATTGTAATAATAGTGAGCATAGAAACAAACAAGATGTATTGTAAGAGTCACTTTATTTTTCATTAATATTAAAGAAGTGAAGTTGCCTTTACATGCTGACGCTGTTAATTTATCCATTGCATGGGTGGACCTTATCCTTATCAATCATCCAGACATTTGCCCCCCCTGAGAGATTTTGCAGGAGCCGCCACTGCGAAAGACCGTTGGGGTAAGTGCTGTCAGTGAGTAGCAGCACCTGTGAAGACAAAGATCCCCCCTTGCGTAGCCACCCCCTCCACTGCGTCGCCGGGTGATCAGCACCACGCCCGGCCGCCTCTGTCTCCCCGGTGGCAAAGTTTACCGCACATCGCACCGGGGACTCGCTTGAGGCCGATTCAACCTTGGGGAGCCCCAGGGCCGGTTCAGTAACAGCAGTTGATTGCTGTACAATTACTACAGCCGGCAGAACGACCGCGCACTGTGTGTGTGGCGCAGCGCTTAGCGTTCTGTGTGTGTGTGAGTGGTGGCACAGTGGTTAGCGTTCTGTGTGGTAGTCCACGGTCCAAGAGTGGCGTCCCCCCCCACCCACTCACGCGCCAGCCGCACGGTGATGTTTGGGGTGAGCGTTGTGCCGTCCTGGTTCTCCGCTGAGCAGCGGTAGACGCCCACGTAGGCCTCTGCGGCTTCGCTGTCGGACTCCGCGGACGCCGCCACCACCGCCGCCATGTCCACGGTGAAGGTGCCCGAGCCATCTCCACGCCGCTTCACGTTAGGGTCGCCGTTCGGGTCAAAGCGCCGGCCGTCCTTACTCCACCGAAACCTCAAGCACAAACGGGAGGGGGGGAGAGAGGGAGGGATGTGAGAGATGGAAGGAGGAGAGGGAGGGAGGGGTGGGGAGGAGAGGAGAGGGTGTTGTATATACAGTGAGGGAAACAAGTATTTGATCCCCTGCTGATTTTGTACGTTTGCCCACTGACAAAGAAATGATCAGTCTATAATTGTAACGGTAGGTTTATTTGAACAGTGAGAGACAGAATAACAACAACAAAAATCCAGAAAAACGCATGTCAAAAATGTTATAAATTGATGTGCATTTTAATGAGGGAAATAAGATTTTTTTTATTGTTTTTTTTCGTTTCTCTTAATACAACGGTTAAAAGTTCAAAACTTAGCGACGTAGATTAAGTCGACATCATAGTCTGCCAACACACTCACCCAGATTAAAAACTACACTGCAGTCACATTGGTGGCCTTGATTGATTAATTACCTCACATTGTTTCTTGTTGTATCTTGCTATCTACGTGACTTTACCAAAAACCAAGGAATATGAATTCTAGCAGTCAAGAAAGCTGAAGTGAAATTTTAGTTAGATCTCTCGCCTCAGGACATCAAAATATAACTCGAGTAAAACAGCACAAATCCCTGGATGCTAAATCACAAATCTTGGATAAACACAAACCAAATAATAATTATGAATCTTAACTTTGGAGCTTTCGTGTGTTGACCGACTCTCTGTGTCGTTTTACATAACATTTCGATACTTTGCTAGGTTATTTAATTTTAGTGTGTCTCTTTCTCCCCCTAAGCCTGCTCACTCCTTTTGTTGCACTCATTGACATGTAAAATTTTTCCCTACCCCCTCCCCCTCGCTGCCTCCGCCCCCCTCTGTCTATTTAAGGCCACCCCACAGAGACGATCACCCCTCTCTGTACCTGTGTTGCCCGCTCTGTGTATCTTGGTGATATCTGTCTGCTTATATGTCTGTCTATAATTTTTTCTGGTTAGATTTTATGTCGCTATTTCATTATACCTGATGATGATTGCTTGTGTTGCAATCGAAACGTCGTATGCTATTATTTAATTTATTTATTTTTCTTTATACGTCACTTTACCGAAAGAACCAAAGAATAATAATTATGAAGTATTCGACCAAGAGTCAACCACAAGGATAAACAAGGCGGAACAGGTCCATCACCCATAACCAAGATAAAATGTATCCCACAGAGAGAAAGAGAGAGAGCCTCTGTGAACACTGCTGCAGACATACCTTGAGTCACTTACAGAATCAGAACTACACAAGCGGTACGGTATCAAGCCATGAGAGGTCAAATCATCTTCTTGGTTCTTTCGGTAAAGTCACGTAGAAGGGAAATAATAAAATAATAATAAAACATAATCAAATAATAAACATAAAACATAATAAAATAATACAAATAAAACATAATAAAATAATACAAATAAAACATAATAAAATTATAAATATAAAACATAATAAAATAATACAAATAAAACATAATAAAATAATAAAAATAAAACATAGTAACATTTCGATTTGAAGCTTTCGTGACTGCAAGGATTCCTACTCTTAGTTTTTTCGGTAAAGTTACCATGTAGGTAAAAAATGAAATAAAAATTTAAAAAAATAAAAGAATAAAAATCACGACGTTTCGGAGGCTGTATACAGCAAATCTGGCTGTGACGGTCCCACCTGATGACGGAGACTTGTGTTGCCTCCGAAAGTCGTGATTCTTATTCCTTTATTTTTATTAATTTTTATTTCATTTTTTATCTACGTGACTTTACCGAAAAAACTAAGAGTATTTTATTATTTTATACAAATTTCAAAACCCGACATATACAACAACAAGGGATGTGGGGAGGTAGCGTACTTGGGCGTTGGGTTGCCATGAGCCTCACACTCCATGACGATCTCGCCCTGCGGGTCCACTACGTAATCCTCCGGCGAATACCGGGTGATGAACGGAGGGCGAGTACCTGCAGGAGATTGATGGGTTAACAAAACTGTGGCTGCAGCAGTGGCAATAGCAGATTCACACCAACACAGCCAATTCGCGCGGCTTTACGATTTTCAATCAACATGCTAATCTCTCATTAACATGCCAATTTGCACCTGGCAGCCCTTTGATTGGTGGAATACCAACCGCTATCGGGTTTGCTGCCCACCACTTGCATTGCCATTGGCTGCTGACATTTGGGCGACGCCCATTTGAAACCCTTACAAACAGTTTGCCTTGGAAGCTAACCCTCCTTATCCTGAAGACGACCGCTTGTGTTGCGATAGAAACGTCGTAAAATTTCGATTTCAAGCTTTCGTGACTGCAGGGATTCATCTTCTTGGTTCTTTCGGTAAAGTCACGTAGAATGGAAGTAATAAAATAATACAAATAAAACATAATGAAATAATTCTCACGACGTTTCGGCCACAACGCAAGCAGCCGTCCTCAGGTGAAGAACAGGTCTGTCGAGAAGACATTCAGACGCTGTCTCCCCGACAGACCTGTTCTTCACCTGAGGACGGCTGCTTGCGTTGTGGCCGAAACGTCGTGAGAATTATTTTATTATGTTTTATTTTTATTATTTTATTGGTTTGCTTCTACGTGACGACTTTACCGAAAGAACCAAGAAGATGAATCCCTGCAGTCACGAAAGAAGCTTTAAATCGAAATTTGATTATTTTTTTTTTATTTCCATTCTACGTGACTTTACCAAAAGAACCAAGAAGATGAAACGTCGTAGTTTAAGTTTTTTGCTATTTTCTTTGAACCTATCTACGCGACTTTACCGAAAACCCCAAAGAATATGAATTCCTGCAGTCACGAAAGCTTCAAGTCAAGATTTAGTTGATAGTCTTTAGTGGACGATTTGGTGGGTGTAGCGTTGAGAGGGGGCATCGTCTCAAGGGGGGTAGCGGTGCAGTTTGCTACTCACGGTCACGGGGCAGGGCGTCGAGGTGGTCACCCAGCACAGCCAACAACAACGACGCCAGAAGAAGGGCGGTGATGAGGAAGGCCTCCATCAGCGGGGGGGGGGGGGGGGGGACAGATGGTCAGACTGGGGGCTTCCTTCACTTGGCTAGGAGGAGGGCGTAGAAGGGAGGGAGCAGAGTAGGAGGGGGAGCAGGAGGAATTAGAAGCATTTAAACTGCAAGAGGATGAATCCGAAGCGCTATAAAGCTCTTTTTCACACATGTCCAGCTGGGACACTGGGTCAGAACATGACAACAAACACAATACAAAAACACGGTGTGAGTGCAGAGTACAGTAAGAGTAAACAAATCACTTTACAAATATTTACATATATATTAAAGGCAAAGTTGTGAATATTATGTGTCTGTTCAAAATGTTTAGCGTATTTCCCGACATGCAACGAACTGGAAATTTGCCATGTGGGTACTTTACTTTCCAGACTGTACACCATGCACACATTATTAAAAATACACTTTTGGGGGGGGGGGGGGGAGCTCAATAATGCAGAGATTTTTTTGCACAGCAAGTGAACTGTGACGTCACATCTGTCACGTGACCCACGCGTGTGCAGTGTAGTGGTCAGCGCTACGCCGCGCTACGAACCCGGCGACCCGAGTTCGATTCCCGCTCACGGCCACCAGCGATGACGATTATTTGAACCGGTCCTGGGCCTCCCCTAGGTCGACTCAGCCTCAAACGAGTAACTGGTGCGGTGTGTGAACATCGCCACTGGGGAGACAAAGGCGGCCGGGCGTGGTGAATCCAAGTCCCGGGCAAAGCCGGGGGAAGTCCAGCTAGTATACTAATAAATCTAGCCAATGTTTGATGTTGCAGTATAGACAAAACACGGCACTCTAAACGCATTCTTCTAAATGCTGAGGGAAAAACCGGAGGACCCGGAGTAAATTCCATGTGACCACGGGGAGTGAGGCACGTCAACTCCAGATATACAGCAGGTAGTGTCAGTCGGTATCAAACCCACCACCTCCAGTACACCAGGTGACAACCGTGCCAGGTTACACATTCCTGCTGCGGAGGGAGCTGGTAGGAACGTTGGGTTGCTCGCTCAATGGCCTGCAGGGTCAATGGCCAGGGCAATGTGGTGTATTCCGCAAATGTGCCCGACTGTGAGGGCGGGCACAAGCCGGCGTGAGTAGGTTAAACGTTGAGTTTTATAAGGGCACCACGGGGTGACCAGCCCGTCCCCACCCAGCCCCTCCCCACCCAGCCCCACCCTTCCCCACCCAGCCCCACCCCTACCACCCCCCACCCACCCCCTCCCCACCCAGCCCCACCCCTCCTACCCAGCCCCTCCCCACCCCCCCACCCAGCCCCTCCCCACCCAGCCTCACCCCTCCCACCCCCCACCCAGCCCCTCCCCACCCAACCCCTCCCTGCACGACGGACGGACACAACAATCCCCTGTGGGCTGGTGGAACCAGTGGGTTCCTACCAGTCAAAGACCTCCTTTGCAAGGGACACTTGGATGCACGCTCATTATTGATGGTCACGTGCTCCTGCGTAGAGCAGCAGAATGTTTACATTTCACATCGGCTGCATTTCATCCAGTGGCACCGATTTTTGAAACCAGATCAATAATACGTATAACCCGTAAAAACAAATTTTTTCACTATAAATCCTTTATATGCGTGGCGGCTAGAGTCCTCTCATCCTCTGGCTTGAGATGGCTGCCACCTATGGGTCAGATGATTGTCTGCCAGTATTAAGGAATTGGTAATTAAATATTTAATTTGTTTTCCCTAAAAAGTGTAAAATTTTGGAAAAAAAATTTCACGAACATTAATTGTCTCGCACAACGAGTCTGTGTGCAAAATGTCAGCTCGATTGGATCACGGGAAGTGGGTTAAAAAACGACCGAAAGATTTGCATGGTCGTAAGCAAGCAAGCACGCAAGCAAGCGAACTTAATATAAAGGATTTAAAACCCAACATTGATTATCCCCAGCAAACAGGGCAACGCTGCATCAGCCACAGCTCCAGGTTTCTCCCATCACTTAAAGAGCCCCCGAGTGAGAACACCCTCCAGGATAGAGAGAGACCAACACAGCAGCACTTGCACGTCTGCGCGAGTGCTGTGTGGTGTGAAACAATTGTCACGGGAGGAAATATCAAGTTACATTTCGATTTAAAGCTTTCGTGACTGCAGGGATTCATCTTCTTGGTTTTTTCGGTAAAGTCACGTAGAAGGGAAGTAATAAAATAATACAAATAAAACATAATAAAATAATTCTCACGACGTTTCGGCTACAACGCAAGCAGCCGTCTTCAGGTGAAGAATGAGACACTGCCAAGCTAGGAGCTTTAACAAAAGAATGTGCACATCAAGAGGGATTTAGCTTGCTAAACCCCTCTTGATGTGCACAACACAAGAATGTGCATATCAAGAGGGGTTTAGCTTGCTAAACCCCTCTTGTGCACAACACAAGAATGTGCATATCAAGAGGGATTTAGCTTGCTAAACCCCTCTTGATGTGCACAACACAAGAATGTTTAGCAAGCTAAATCCCTCTTGATGTGCACAACACAAGAATGTGCACATCAAGAGGGGTTTAGCTTGCTAAACCCCTCTTGATGTGCACAACACAAGAATGTGCACATCAAGAGGGGTTTAGCTTGCTAAACCCCTCTTGATGTGCACAACACAAGAATGTGCACATCAAGAGGGGTTTAGCTTGCTAAACCCCTCTGGATGTGCACAACACAAGAATGTGCACATCAAGAGGGGTTTAGCTTGCTAAACCCCTCTTGATGTGCACAACACAAGAATGTGCATATCAAGAGGGGTTTAGCTTGCTAAACCCCTCTTGATGTGCACAACACAAGAATGTGCACATCAAGAGGGGTTTAGCTTGCTAAACCCCTCTTGATGTGCACAACACAAGAATGTGCATATCAAGAGGGGTTTAGCTTGCTAAACCCCTCTTGATGTGCACAACACAAGAATGTGCACATCAAGAGGGGTTTAGCTTGCTAAACCCCTCTTGATGTGCACAACACAAGAATGTGCATATCAAGAGGGGTTTAGCTTGCTAAACCCCTCTTGATGTGCACAACACAAGAATGTGCACATCAAGAGGGATTTAGCTTGCTAAACCCCTCTTGATGTGCACAACACAAGAATGTGCACATCAAGAGGGATTTAGCTTGCTAAACCCCTCTTGATGTGCACAACACAAGAATGTGCATATCAAGAGGGGTTTAGCTTGCTAAACCCCTCTTGATGTGCACAACACAAGAATGTGCACATCAAGAGGGATTTAGCTTGCTAAACCCCTCTTGATGTGCACAACACAAGAATGTGCATATCAAGAGGGGTTTAGCTTGCTAAACCCCTCTTGATGTGCACAACACAAGAATGTGCACATCAAGAGGGGTTTAGCTTGCTAAACCCCTCTTGATGTGCACAACACAAGAATGTGCATATCAAGAGGGGTTTAGCTTGCTAAACCCCTCTTGATGTGCACAACACAAGAATGTGCATATCAAGAGGGGTTTAGCTTGCTAAACCCCTCTTGATGTGCACAACACAAGAATGTGCACATCAAGAGGGATTTAGCTTGCTAAACCCCTCTTAAGGCTCTCTTCTTCTTCCACCTCCAACCCAGCTTATATACAAGCTCCAAGCTTGGCAGTGTCTCATTCTTCACCTGAAGACGGCTGCTTGCGTTGTGGCCGAAACGTCGTGAGAATTATTTTATTGTTTTATTTTTATTATTTTATTACTACCTTCTACATGACTTTACCGAAAAAACAAGAAGAAAAATATCAAGTTGACAAGGCCTCAACACGTCACTCACCGGCGCAACGCTGCGTAGATGTCTGGGGGGGGTCTTGAGCTCTTTTCTGTGTCCTCATGTGGTGGGGGTGGTGGTGGTGGAAATCCAACGTTTCGTGCCTCTACCACAGGCAGGCGAACG